ATAAGCCAAATATTCCAAGTATTTGCGACTACGATATTTCCGCGTAGCTTCAACGCAAAAACGCGAATCATTTTGTATAGGCTATAAATCATTTAGTTTCACCCTTTAAACCTGAACTATGATAGCTAAAAAAATATTATTAAAAATCTGCGCTACCGTCGAAAGTGTTTCGTTATTATTTTCAAGGAGTTGTATAACGATTAACCGACGACAACGACAGTGTTTTATATTTTTTGGAAGTTAATCGTAAGGACGATTAATGTAAACGAATGTTTACAAGTGGCACGAAGAGGTACGTCAGGTAAGGTCTCCATGGTAGATGGTGGGGAGATAGTTTTGGGAAGAGCGAAACCAGTCGTGTCTGAGCAAGCGTAATGGTGGCTAATGAACCAACAACGATAGAATTTTCGATATTCATCGCGTCAATTGATCTTCCCATCGTCTTCCAAGAACTATTAGTACAGGTCACTGAGAGTAATCATCATTGAAATATAAAATTTTGTATTTTACTTTATTTACTGTCAATTGATCTAGGCAGCAGCCTATTACAATCTGGTGTTTGTGACATTCTAGCGTGTTATTGTTATACTTACACTATAATAAACTATTAACTTTAGAAATATGTATACGTGAAAATAGAATGGATAAAATAAAAAATTTAAATCTTTGGTTGATTCTCAGTGCCATAACATCTTGAAACATGTGTAATTTTAGGTGTAGGTTATAGGTGTCGGTCGTAAGAAGAGACTACATGTTTTCGATAAACAAAATTATATTTTTATCTGGTCGAGTGCAGGGTACATTTGTCAGTGTCGGTGTTTTAAACGGTGAAATTCTTTTATCTCGAGTATAGTGGATGGTTTCGCGATACACTGTTTGGAAAGTTGGCTTTGAAGCGTGTCGCCCCACCACTGTCTTATCCATAGTTGCTTTCGGTAGCAAAGCAGCTTCGCCGGTAAACTGTCTCCGTTATCGTGGATAGGTAAACGTTAGACGACGTCACGTTATATACATACGCGAGATAGGAACACAATACAAGCACGGTACAGCGTGTAGAGAGAGATAATACCGTGTAAGGAGGCTTCAGCCTCGCGCGGGATTGCATTTACCGAAATAAGTCGAATTTAGAGTCCGATCAACCGCGTTAGTCGGTTTATGGACGCGTGGAAGAGGAAGGATAAGACGATTGGATTGCTAATGCGGGTGTCTAGTCTGGTCCAAATTACTTCTTCGAACAACTAATCCCCTAATCCCCTTGCAGGCACACGGAAGTAATCGCCAAAGTTATGAATTGAGCATTCATAATTGAATTTTGTAATGATGTAACACACGTTAATATCAGTTTGATGCTCGGAGAAATGTAATATACATTATTTACTCGCGTTTTCATCTGTTAGCTTTTCCCGGTGTATCGTATCGTCCTAGTATTAAATTTAGTACGACGACGCTAGATTTGGTTGGTTGTACTTTCCTTTATTGTTTCTTCGATCAACGATCATAGGTTGTTTCTCGCAAAAAATCTGTATTAATGGAAGTTAAGTTAGGATTCGGTTAGAGAGGGTCTCCATTCGCAGCAACCTCCATGTGGTGAGACCTGGGTAATATTATTTAGCGTTTAATTAATAATCGTATCACTCTTAGATGGGTAATGCAATTATTGACTAAAAACTAAATCGTATTAGCAAATTGGCTGCGATCCGCGTTGCATAGGTTATCATAAATATCGAGATTTTTCGCTAGATTAGTTTTCTCATAGTTGGTAGCGCTGCGGTTTTATACCATTCTGAATTCATACCTCTGGGATCGACACCGAAATGGTAAAAAGTTTCTAGAGTATTCGTCGAAAAATTTGTTCACCTAAACCCCTGTCGATTTTTCTAAAAAATTCGTTTTTCATTTTTAGTAAATTTGTTTGATGTTGTACGGAAATATTGTGTAATAGTTTTTTATTGGTATCCATGAGCTCTACTTCGCTGCTAAATTTCATTGAAATATATTCACTATTGTAGGAGTTATGGTTGTTTGAAGATTGGACCATTTTTAAGGGGGTTTTCTCATTTTACGGGGTCAAGGAACAACTTTTTCAACATTATTAGAATTTCTACATATTCTTCACTAAAATATGCATCGTTTACGTTTTGAAACATTGAAATCCTCCAATCCGTTCAGGAGTTATAATGTTGCAAACATGCGCATAAAATTTCAGGGAAACATATCAATGGATGGTCAGACATTACATTTTCAGTAAGGAATTTTGTTCTCGAAAGTGCGTAGGATTTCGGGGTTATGTGTAATGACCAAAAAGGATTGTGATTAGCTCCGCTTGCTAACGATAATTTTTTCAGAACGATGTGCGATTTTTTTTTCGCCGAAAAATTTAGCCGTCTACTCGAATTTTTTTCTTGAAAGTACTTAGGATTTCGCGGGTATGTCTATTCACTAAAAATGATGGTAATTGACCCTCGCAATCGAAAATAATTTTTCCAGAATGATTTGAATCTTTTCAATTTCGTCGAAAAATTTAGGCACCCTACCCCCAGTCAATTTTTCTTAAAAATTCGTTTGTGATTTTTAGTAATTTTTTTTGACGCCTTATAGAAAAGTTGTCTAATACTTTCTTGTAGGTACTCATGTGCTCTATTTCAGAAAAAAGTTTCATTGAAATATATTCACTATTCTAGGAGTTATGGTTGTTTGAACATTGGACCATTTTTATGGGAGATTTCTCACTTTACGGGGTCGAGGAACAACTTTTTGAACATTATTAGAATTTCTACATATTCTTCACTAAAATATGCGTCGTTTGCATTTTGAAACATTGAAATCCTCCAATCCGTTCAGGAGTCATGACGTTGCAAACATACGCATGAAATTCAGAGAACCATTTCTGGCCTCGTATGTCTATTCACCAAAAATGATCGCAATTGACCCCTAGCTAACAGTAATTTTTTCAGAACGATTTGAAATGTTTTTTTTTCGCCGAAAAATTTCTGCACCTTCGCCTCCGAATTTTCGAGTCTCTATGGCAGTCAGATTGGACCACGAAAGTCCGTAATGTGTAAGGTCTATCCGTACACCTCGTCTGTGCTTTGATCTGAAGCGGTAGATAAAGCGTTCAGGTTCATTACTGTACCAAGTGCACGAAACGATACCCAACAAATTTCGCGATAGCGAGCGATAACGGTTCGCCGATATCTTCGTGTCGCGCGTTTTTCCGGCGTATTTTTTCGCAGCGTCGGATAAAAACTGCCGGGGCCCGCCTCGTCGTAGAACCCAAGCGACAATGGTCCGTTGGAAACGAGCCAGCTCTTGTATTTCTCTCTCCTTTGACCCGTTATCGACAATGAATACGTTCGTCTCGTCGGTCGGCTGACAATTATAAAACGTTATCGAATCGAGTACACGGTTACAGAGAGATTAATTACGTTCGTTCCATAGATCGCGCGAAGATCGCCGTCGAACGGCGTTAACAACACGACCTGTCGCGTTCCAATTAAAAGGATTACTAATTAAGCTTACTAATTAATAGCAGCGGGGTACGCGATGTTACACGTTTTAATTACCGAGCGTCATCTTTTTTCGATCCGACGCGACGCCCGCCGTCGTCGAAACAACCCCGGCGTTCTTAAATCTAATTAATTTTCTACGACTATTAATGAGTCGGTCGCGTTACGGGAGGTCGATGTCCCCGGGAATCTCGACCCGCGCGAACCCAGGAGGAGGGGGGGAGGGGGCGGAAGGTGATGCAAGATTATTGTGGATATTAAATTTCAGTGTAGCGGCCGGTTACGGCCCCCGTTGCCCGGATATTAAATTTTAGTCCCCGGTAAGCAACACCCGCGATGGCATAATACACCCCGGTGCCCCTCTGCCTGCGTGAAAATCGCCCGACCGCAGTCCTCTTGCAACCGAAACCCCCTCCCCTCCTCTTGTTCCCCCGCGTTCCACCACCGAGCGCGTATAATTCTTCGCGGCGTGCACCTATCGGCCGTGTCGTTGCATCTGCGCCCCCGGAATGTCCCTTGGGCTTTTATTGCCATCTCCTGCCCGCAAGCCCGCGGAATATTACATTTTGCTAGGTAGATAGGCGAAATTATCGATTATACGATAGCGCGTCCGCTTTTCATATAGAATAATAGCGTTCGAGTGGCCGTACGTGCACACGGCTCCGGCTGTTAGCCCCCACCCTTTTTCCACGTATTTTCGAAACCACCTTTTTCCTCGACTTTTACCCCTCCGCCCCCTCCCCGTGTCGCTTTGCGATTAATCCACGAAATTAATGTCGAGGGAAATATATAGAACGTTCGCGTTATTATAATCTTGGGCCACCCCTCCCTTTGCAGGCGACAGATTTATGAACGGAAAACCGGAGCTGGGAAAAAGTTTCGGTATTTTCTGCGGTGGTCGAATAAATTCTTGCGAGTCGTAATAAAGGATGAAAGGGTATCCCTTTTTCTTGCGAGGGGATCCTTTTCGTTGGAGACTTCCATGATATTCGGCGGAACGTATCTGGAGGAAACGGTGACGGTACGCGTGTTCTTTTATTTTTTAAATTTTTACTCAACTGGAATTATTTTTGGTCCACGCCACGACGTATGACGTCGATTAATTCGCAAAATAATTAAATCGTCCGATATGTAACTCCTATCAAGACTGACTTTTATTAAATGTCAATTAAAATCGATCGAAATAATATACACTCTTCTATAAATAGAAAAATTAAAAAAAGAATTTTCCTCGTACGTCCGCTTTACATAAAATGAATTTAAATATTATCTTTCACGAACACATCGATACGACCAAATGAGCTTATCTGCTTGTAATTTCCGCGAACGTCACACAGAAAATCGATGCGTGTTATCGGATCTCATTATCGAAATTCTGGCCACGCGATGCAGTGCCATTGTAAAACTTAACATCGAGTCCCCGACAACGCGAATATCGCGCGTTAATTGCACCTTACGATCGTCGAGACCATTGACGTTCGAAACGAGTCTTACCTCCTTGTAGAGAGGGGTAGATGTAAAACGAGGGTTCCTGCAGCCAGGAGACCACGCGTACCAAATCTTTCACGAAGCTTGGAACGACGCATCGTAACACCGCCGTGCATCCTCTTGATGCACCCCCGATCACTTCCACGTCGACTTTGTATGCCTGAGCCACCACTGCGAACAAATAAGCGGGAAGTTATTTATATTCGCCCCGGAGCCGGGACGCGAACTTATCTGCGCGAAACTTCTGTCGAAGCGACGAATACGCGCTTCGAACACCGTGACTAGGATTTAAATAAAAATGTCCAGCGAACGTTAGGGTGGTTCTGAGAAATATTACGTATTTCAGTCAGTATGGTATCTGGTCACTTTTCGAGAGTCCATCGAAACGAAGCACGGGTCGATTTTGGCTTATTGGGACACGTCGGTGTGAAAACAATTTATATATTGCGTCGTATTTAAACGAAGTTTCGTGCAAATATTTGACAAAAAGGAAGAATTAAAATTTCATCGAACAGGAAATGCAAGTATTTTCGAATATACAGGGTGGTCCACGTGACTTGTGCAGCTCCATAACTTCCAAAATATGCGTTGTACGAAAAAATTTTGCGTAACACAAAATTGCATGATTTAAAAGAGTACATTATGTAGCGCATTTATTTTTTTTTATACGTAGAGGCGTCTCGGAGATTTGAAAGTCAACTTTGTTTTTTTAAATAGAATGCTATATTTTTTGTATGAAAATGTGGAAGAATATCGAATTCTGAGTAAAAAACGTATTAACCTTTATTAGCCCAAAACCTAATGGCTAACGAGAAATTTCACTTTATTTCTTGACAATTTTCTTCGCGTAATATCAAATTGGAGACTCAACTTTATCACAGATTTCTATAGAACAATGAAAATAATCAAGGAACAAAGTGAAATTGCTGGTTAGCTATTAGGTTTAGGGCTAATAAAGGTAAATACTTTTTACTCGGAATTTGATATACAAAATATAACATTCTATTAAAAAAAAAAAAAACAAAATTGACCGTAAGGGCCTTAGACCATAGTCAGGGCCGTACGAATAACTGTTTTATCCAGTGTCGCCATTTTTAGAGGTATCGTAACAGGTAAAGGTCTTACTCGAGTTTTTGATATCTTAATTTACCTGCTTATAATATATGAAGGTAGAAAATGAGAAAAAGTATCGCAGTTACGGACACAGAAAGGCATACAGCAATACATCCTCAAGCAAGATGTTATGTAGTCAGTAGTTGGTCCCAACTCTCAAGAGTTTAGTTTACGACCTCGCTATATCGTGGCCCGTACTATACATTGCCAGATAACCAAATCAAGTGATGTTGAACTAAATGATGTGTCCTATAATACAAATTGTTGGGCTTCCCAACACATTGAAAAGAGACAAAAAAAAAATTGCCGTCATAGTGGTTTTCCCCCTTGATCTATCCATATACGGGGTGGTCCACTGTAACGCGACGTTAGTTCGAAACGTCTCGCGGTAATCGTTCGAGGAATGACTCCAATGAGCTCGCTAAGGCCCCCCGGCGCATGCAACGGTTACATTAATTCGAACATTAGACCCAGTGTCGCGATACACAGAACCGTCGGCATAATCCCACGCGGAATGACGCCTAGCGCGTGGCGGTAATTGAAACGTGTTACGCGATTCAGTGCGGAGCGTAGATGGATCGCGTCGACTCGCACGGCCAGACACACACACATACACACATACACGCAGAGGATCTCACACGTATAGACGGCCTTACGCGCGGGGTGTCACGTCGTTACTCGTCGTCGACAACCGGGTGAATCTCGACGTCGGCGTCTGGGAAGCGGCGAGGCGTGAAGCGACGCAAGCGTAACGAACGCCTCGTCCTCGACGTCTGTCGCTCGTTTTTCTCCTCTCGTTTTTTGTTTCTACCGTCGCCCGACCGCTCGAGAGGCACCGTGCTCTTCCGGAGATTTTATTTACGCGGAAATTCCAAGGGCGACGGCCAGCTGCCAGCGACGCTGCAATCTGACACACCGACGTCGCGACGCCCAAGACCGTCGTCGTGCTCCATCCAGCTGAATTTCTTGCCGTTTGTTTCGTACCCCGTCCCTCTTCACGTTCAACGTCCCTCGTCTCGTTCGACGTTTGCAGTGACGATATTTGGTAAATTTTTCAAATAATTCGAATTCCTTGAATTTCCTCCCCGAAGGGAAACCACAGCGTGGGACAAATTAGAACGGAATTTTATTTTTTATTGCTTCGTGGTAATTTGTGACAAATCCTCATGTTTTCTGGGAGATTGCAATTTTCAGAATGTTATCTATTCTCGAATTTTTTGGTATATTTTTTTTGTTTGAAACGCGCCCAAAAGAACAACTCTACGCCATTGAACCACCTTCGAATCTCCTTTTTTACGAATCCATGTAATTGACCGAAGCAATTGTAACTTACTTCTCTCATTATTTCTGATTCTATTACAAGAAATAGAAATAGAGAAGGGACGAAAGAATAGCAAAATAATGAACTAAAGAAAGAATTGTACTATAAATCTTTGACAAGATTCGTTCCTTTCACACTTTCTTGCGGAGACAATTTCCAAGCTAATGAATACACGCTTGGAATTCCACTTGATCGAAACAATTGTAACTTACCTTTCTCATTATTATTCATTTATCAACGAGTATGAAACCCTTTAGTACAAAATATGTAATTTCTAAGAAACGTGGATTATCGTAGATATTATCGCTTGTATAATTTTAACAAAATCAATTTACAATACGCTGCAAGGATAATTTTAATCTAGCGATTGTTCACTTTTATCGGTAATAACCTATAGTTGTAGATACCAAGGTTCGTATAAAATTTGAATTTAAACGTAGCAACAATAAAATTGCAAACGTCTAAACTCACTAAAATGTTGTATAAATATCTTCTTTATCACATAAGCTTCTTCTTTCATTGCGGTGTCCCGATGTTTCGATTGGTACAAAGTCTCTGATAAGTCTCCAATAAGTAGAATAAGACACAGAATTCCTGAAAGAGGCCAAGTGCCTACGCTTTACGTCAAATTTCTGCTAGTTTAACCAGAAACCGCATAATCGTATCACGCGTAACGTAAGCACGAACACTTTGCTCGCTCGTTTCCCTGAATATAATAATCCCTCGCAAACTGCAACAGATTTGTCCCTCGCGAGCTGCGCCGAAGTTATCCCCACCGCTTCTTGGAACTCCCGGAACGATCCAAAGCGTTATCCGCGTGTCGTGATCAACGTTAGAACAGATTACTAACGGATCAACGAGTAACCGTGTCCCGTTTGCTCCCACTGTTTCCTTTTCCCTTTCGTCGTATCGCACCCCTGTCCCCAATGTAAACAACAGCCAGCGGACCGTAATAATCAGAGCGATAAGTTTCGTTTCAACCACCTACGTGGCCTGCGTTGCACTCATTAGACGCAATTCAACGAATAACTATCGCGCTAAATTATCGTTGCTGGTCCCTTCCCGTAACCGACGATGCTAATTACCATTACGTTTAATCGTAGATTGAAATTTTCGAAACACGATGGATTTCGATAAAAGTTATTGACCCTTTGACTGCTAAAGGCGTATATATATGCTTTCACAAGTCTATCAATATATAAAAACGTAAATTCACGCCCTCTGCATTTTTTTCACTATAACGCCTTTTACTGTTTTACCAATTGATTCGACATGGAATTGGATACAAATTGGATATTTTAATTTATTTGCATTTATTATTTTTTTAAACGGTAAGAATGGTCTCTTAAATCTCCGGGTACTTTTTTGGTCACCAGTCGCAGCGACAGGCATGCGACCATCGCGCCATCTATGTTGATGGATTCTTTCTAGGACGCGCCGCAGTCAAAAGGTTAAGCCTGGAGTGACAAATAGGTGAAATTAGCGCCACAACGTCGTCCATTGCGATATTATACGTTGTCAACTTTGATATTTAAAGTAACACATTCAAAGCGAAAGGTGAAATCTGATTTTGAGAAGTTGTGAAAACGTAGCTAAGAGGTCCGTGACTCAAGAAACGATATATTTTGATATTAGGTAAAAAGTAACGTCGAATATTTTAATTACTCGGTAGGGGAACGAAAAGAATTTTAAAATTTGATTTTGAGAAGTTGTGAACCCGATACGACGATCCCTGGCAAAATTAAACTGTTCTAAGTTTTCAAAATCATTGCACAAGTTCTAAATTTGACGTACATCTGCCTCTATATTCAGTTTAAACGATAAAAGTCAGCTTCTGTGTTATTCGATCTGTTTCATCGTTTCGTTTGTATTTCCCCCGCAAATTTCGTGGAACGTATCGCCAATTTCGAAAAGTAAAGGGCGAAATTTTGAGTATGAAAAAGCAAGATCGACGATGCGAAACGAATTCTCCGGTTTCTCGACGAAACGTTTTTCCGATCGATGCGCCCGAAAAATGCATTTCCTTCTGAAAACGTTGAACGCGAACGGAGTTACGGGATGAAATGGGGCGAAACAGGATCTCGGGGCGGGCTTTCCTCCTTGAATTTCCCGCGGCTCGCGACGAATGTTGCGGGTACTTCCGTTCTGGTCAGCCGGGCCCCGGGATAGAAATTTCTTTCCCGTTAAACCGAAAGCAGGAAGTAAAGTTTTAATTAACGGCCACGCGTCCGGGCCAGAACTTTATAGCCGCGAGGCAGTAGTTGGCAATCCTGAAAGCGTCGACTCGACCCCGCAGCTGCCACGGATTTGCATTCAGATTGCATTTTTTCCTATTTCTTTTCCTTCCCCCCCTTTTTTTTTTAAACAGGTAATTACACCGAGGTCCGCGCGACGCTCGCCGCGTTTCGCCCGCAACTGGCGTGAATCGGAACATCCTTGGCCAGGACTTCATCCTTTCTTCACCCATTGGAACGCGTCTGACGCATTCCTTGATGGTCTTTTAATTATTTTTGTAATTATCTTTTTATTTCGAACGCTCGAACCGCGACCGTGTTCGTTCAGGTCGCTCTGTTTGCTCCATAATTCTCAAATGTGATCGAAACTGAAGTGGGCACGATTGGCAGAGCAAGATGGAAAAATTGTTAATCGATGGAATGTATAAAATTAAATCACCGATCGCTAAGGTAGTTTAAATAAATACTTAAATTAGTTCTCGTAGGTAGAAGTATGGACAAAAGTATTTGTGGAGAAAGTAAAAAAGGATATAAAGTAGATTTATTTAGTTTGACGTTATAGTGTGGATATTATGTTAAAATTCGTGTTATAATCGAGAAGTACGATTCTTTCCGTCGATACGAACAGCAAACGTGGAATGGGATTTATTTATACGCGAATTCGTTATCAACAATTGACGTTTTAATATACTTCGGCAAATGCGTCTAGCTATTATTCATTATTTCTACTTGCGCCCGGCGCTGGTAAGCATTAATGACTGGTATTATCTGCTTTTCGTCGATACTGCTGTGGTTTTGTAGTTAGTACCGGTTAAAGCGGATAGTATCACATCGCCGTCAATGTTTATTACCACTAACAAAAGTAGAATTAGTAATTAACGAGTAGATAAGTTTTCCATAAATAGTTAAATACATCGGGCTAAATTCTCTGCGGATTGGAATAATAATAAACGCGAGTCAAGTTGCGCACAATGGCACGTTCCTCCAACGGGTATTAAAAATAAAGTTTCTGAAACGTTAAGGCTCGACTCGGTGACTCTCGGAACAGTCAAAATTAAATATTTTCATGAATAAATTTAGAGAATTTCGTGCGAAATAAACTGCACTATTATTAATATTGCAGACCGTACAAAACCTATGAATTTTTTGCCTTCTCTAAATTGATGCAAAATCGTCTAGAAAATGGGGTGGTATTACGAGAGAGAATTACTTTTCTGGGAAACGAGCCCTTCAACTGTGCTAAAGGATTTATAGAAAAGTTTTAATAAAATATGGCAACGCAATCTTAGTTTATGCAGTTTTACGATAATCTCATATATACGAATGTGAAGAATAAAATTCTTTGTCGTCGAGAAAATCGACTTTGAATATTCACAGAGCACACATCCGATTGAATTTGCCTGACGCGTCTGACCATTATCACTGTTTTTACTTAGACCCATGGCCAAGCAGTATTCTAAAACCGATTTTCCAGACAACAAAGCCTCCAATGAAACAATGTTATTCTTCAATTTCCATTTGTTTTTTCACGTAGAATCACCGTATTCTTATAATTGACGAGACAAACATTGAATCCATAGCTCAACCTTAATAAAATTCCAAAATAATTTTATCTATACGTCGTAAACCATTAAAAAATTAATACGATTAATAATTGGACCGTTTATTTTGAAAGTGGTGTAAATCCATTTTCTCTTGTTTCGAGAAAATTAAAGGTTAACATATCTGTTAATTAAAAACTTTAGTCGAATTATATGAAGTCTGGCAATGTTTCTACTGTTTTATCAATATGTAATTTGGTTATATAAATTTGTTTTATGCGTATTTTACTAAACTGATGTATACTTACGGGCTGCAAATGGACTTGCACCACTTTCAAAATTAGACAATTGTAAAAATCGTTTAATTTCAATTTTGAAAAATCAAATATCACTTAAAATATATTTCATATTAATCCAATTTTGTTTACAAATAATGACACGACATAAAGTAGAAGTAGTATTTTTAATTTTAGACGCTAGTTGCATTGTTAAAATTACAAGATATTGATGGCATTTGCTTATGCTCTGCATGTGGCAGTGTTTCGAAATATGCATGATGCACCGGAGGTATATAAGGTAATAACTGCTAGATGTCTATGTAACTATGTGTCTAAGCACTAACTATGTAACGTCGAAAAATTAGTAGTTCAGGAGATATTTCAATTTAGATAATTCTAAAACACCATTACTGTTGTACTAAGACATTAGCGTTTATTTACAGGAATGGTTCAACGGTAGGTGCGGTAGTAATGATGCCTTAAGAATTTAAATAATTTAAATTGAAATATCTCCTGAACTACTAATTTTTCGACGTTACATAGTTAGTACTTTTTTATAACGATTGTCCAGCTGAATCGATTGATGTATTAAAAAATACCTCATTCCATTTAAAAAAACAAAGTTGATCTTTATATGACCTTTACGCGTCCACTCACGAAAAAACTAATAACACTGGCTGTACTGCAAATTCACTTTTCTGAAAACGGTATGCTTCCACTAAATGCCCTGAACATTCCGTATGAATTCTCGATACTCCTATGTGACTTTACAATCTTATTTCAAAACCTTAAGCCTAACGTGTGCAATTCTGTTTGTCAACGATGTACATTGGAGGCGTTCGAATACTTTCATGAGCTACCGTATATTATTTTCTATTCCCCCAGAGTAATATACGATTCATCATGCATAAGGTGTTTATTTCAGCGGAATTTCGCGACGATCGTCGATAGTAAAGTGCTGTTTTCTTACCTGCTCTGACCTGTACGTCGCGACTGAGGACCCTGCCCACGGAATTGCTCGCCAAGCATCTGTAGGCCGCGCTGTGCACATCCTGCCGGAACGCGGCCGCCGGAAACGGCAAGAGGACCAACGTGCCGTTTCTGAGCACCCTCCGCACGCCCGGTACGTCGTTCACCGGATGTCCATCCGCGGTCGACCAATCGATGTTGGGCGGCGGGCTTCCTGTCGCGGTGCAGTCCAGCCAGGCGCCGCTCGAATTTGAAAATTCCATCCTCGACGGCGGTTCCATGACGAAACTCGGACCGCGTAAATGCGCGTCGAAACCGTGACCGCTCGCGGACGTCACTGCTGCGGCTGCACCTGCGAACAAAACGTTGTAAAATTCGCATAAATCCATCGGGAGGATCGCAGGAGAGAGAAAAAAAAAAAGAAAGAAAGAATTCATTCACGCGCGGCGAATCGTCGTTCAGCGGACTGCGAGAGTTTAATTGCGACGCGAATCCGCGCGTTCCCCGATTTTCACCCCCCCCGGCGTTTCTCGTCGACGGTAACTTTTATCGTGCGCCTTTATCGCCGTTCGAAAATATTTACCGCAAAAAAATATTTAACGCGCGCTGATCCCCGTGGAGAACGCTTCGACGTGTAACAGTTTCCGCGAGATCGGGTTCGAGTTCCACGGGCGGAGCAATTTCGCAACATCGAAACGATCGAAGGCCGTATTTTCCGACGATGGATCGAATAGAAAAAGACTTTTCAAATAGTTTTAAATATTTTCTGTACGTGCACGCTTTTCGAACGAACGGTTAATATTATTTCGAACAATTGTCAACTGTTCTGCGTTGCGCATAGTCGAGAGAAAAGAACTTTTTTAATTAGTTTTAAATATTTTCTGTATGTGCACGCTTTTCGAACGAGCGGTTAATATTATTTCGAACAATTGTCAACTGTTCTTTGTTATGCGCAGTCGATAGAAAAGAACTTTCGAAACAGTTCTAAACGTTTTCTGTACGCGCACGATTTTCGAGCGATTATATAGGGGGTTGATATTATTTCGAACAATTATCAACGATCGCTGTATTATGCATCGCCGATAGAAATTGCTTGAATTTATTATTTATCGAAGAATAAGTTTGGCACAAAAGAACCGAAGAGAGAATTGTATGAGAATTTGATGTATAACATCGTTTTAAAGAGCAGGTGGCCGGGGATGAAGGAGATCGGTGAACAATTAAGCATCACGTGGTTAACCTTAATACTGCTTTATTTCGGGCTGCGACACGGGAGACGACCAAACTGCTTCCGCTACTACGCTAGTCATACACTATAAAAGTACCATAGTCAAGAATCGAGCGTACCATTTGGATCATACACCGAACGAAGTTACTAAATGCTGCCCGAATTCGTCCACGAATCGTTTTTAACGACGTTCGGGGAATTATTACAACGAACCTTCTCGATTCCGGGGATACTTGGAAAAACATGGCGGAAGTTCGGAAGAAATGAACGTTCGCGCGCGAGTCGTCGATTTAACCGCGGCAAATTGGTTCGCCGAGTTTCAGAATTGATTAAACGCTTCGGTTATCGCGATCGTTCGAACGAACGTCGACCGTACGTCGGGCAAGTTATCCTACTCGAAGTGTATCAGACACGCGGTACTTCGACATAATGCTTTGATCATGGGTGCGAAAACACGAGTCAGCAAGTACTACGTAGGGGGGGCGGGGAGGGGCTCTTGCGTCGTTAGAACCAGTGGCTTCGAGCCACTTCAGGTTAATAACTCCGGGCCAGGCCACTCCCGTCGAGAGTGTAGTTTAATTGTCGCCGGTATTCGCGACGAAAGAAACAAAAACGAGCCCGGGAAGTTTGATTCGAGGATCGAGCATCTCTATCGTACGCTAATTCGACAATTCAAAGATCGATGGGTCCGTTTTTGTCAATACGGATCGGTGATTCTTAATTTGTTGGGCTCTGCAAATAGATTATTGAGGATTTACGAATTTGTGCAGTTTTTAATATTCATTTTTTTGGATTAAATCTTGCAATTCGATGTTCCGAATCCACCGATATCTTGTACGGGGAAATTATTTATGTATTCGATAAACGGGAAGCCCTATTAGTGTAGAAAAATAGTAGAACAAGCTAGTCGAGATCGTTATAAGGTTTCTAGAATTCTTGAGAAAAATAAATTTTGCAAACACCTGAAAACGCAACCCTTTTCTGTGAAATAAAATTTTGTTCGTCAGAATTTTGTTCCTCTCTTCGAAATAATTATTTTAAAATGTACGTGTATTAATGTTTAATCTATGAGATCTTTTGTTTTAATTTCGAGGTGTATTCATACGCGTGCAGAGGTTATAGGAACTATATAATTACACTGGAGTAAAACGTACGCCGTCTTCTAGCCTCCGCAATTGGTACGATGATATTAATATCCCCGTAAATTTTTTAATCATACAATGCCAGAGCATTCTATTTTGACGAATATCGAGATTTTACTGCGACTGCGTGAAACTCCCCGAGGTCGTGTATTAATTAAAAATTTATTTATCTTAAATTGAATTTCCTGACTCTGCGATGGACGTGGCACGCGCATGCGCGAATCAGACTCTTCTGCGAAAGGATAATGTTTAAAGATAGCCATTTTTTTATATTCGTAATGTTCATACAACTTACATTTCTACACCGTAAGGAAACAATTGTTGTTTAACGCATACTCGATGGGAAAGTTATTACCACATTGGGGATGTTTGCGTCAATAAAATATGTAAGTGACATATGTCAAATGTGTATCGATAATACGCCAAAATATACAGGAATATGCAAAATTATAAACATACATGACACACGCAGTATATTTCGACATGTGTTTTTATAAAAGGTATGCAAACATAGAGGGTGTTCGGCCACCCCCGTGAAAAGTTTTAATGGGGGATTCTAGAGGCCACAATAAAACGAAAAACAAGAATACCAATTTACTGATGGAGGCTTCGTTAAAAAGTTCTTAACAATTAAATTCAAAAATTTCAAATTGTCTGGAAAAATTATTTTCGGTTGCCGGGGTTAATTTCAATCATTTTTGGTGAATGCACATACCTCCGAAATCCTATCCATGTTCGAGAAAAAAAATCGGGTACGTACTGAAATTTTTCGGCGAACAAAAAAGTTTTCAAATCGTTCTAAAAAAATTATTTTCTGCTGCGGGGGTCAGTTACAATCATTTTTGGTGAACAGACATACCCCCGAAATTTTGCGCATTTTCGGGGAAAAAATTGAATACGGGCGGAACTTTAAACGTTAATAACTTTTTAACGAAGCTTCCATCAACAAATTGGTATTCTTGATTTTCGTCATATTTTGGCTTCTAGAATCCCCCATTAAAATTTTTTCTAGGGTTTACCGAACACCCTGTATATGCAAAATAAAAAATATATTTTTAAGGACCTCTACCGATGAAACAAATTTCTATTTAGGTTTCACGCTTTTGTCTATTTCCCAGAAACATATGCGTTTGCATAAACATCCACAGTCTAGTTATTACAAACTCGACATAAATTTCAAGGCACACCGTGCATAATTAACGTGCTTTAAATATCCGGACTATTTAAAATTCTTTTCCCTATTTCGCAAAGTATTTGTACTGGTACATCCAATAAAGCTTCACTTTGCTAATATCTATATTATTTCTCCCCTTAGTAACTTCGATACGTAACAAAAGAATAATTTATTACAATTTTATTAGGTCAATGAGGAAAATGAGGACCTCGATAAAAAAAGTAAACATTTCCTAAACCGTTATTATATTTCAAATTTGTTTGTCACCAGTCAAAAGAGCATAAAATTCCTTATAAATTTATAATATTTAAGCTTTTATAAAAGTTTTGCAAACATGTGTATAAAAAATATAGTGTTCCATATCAGGGCAACCGATCCTAACAAATTTTGCTCGGTCTCGTTTTCCGACGAGTACCAAGAATGGTTGTCGAGGGACTTTCGAGGGAAAAATTGGTACGTCCATCGAAGGAAAGATTAATTCTCGAACGGTTACCAGGAGGCGGGCTTAAAAAGATGGGAGAATGGCGTTGATTTACGAACCGAAACGGGAGAGGGCAGATTATTGCATATCTCTGCCCTCGTCCATAAGTGAAGAGCGGTTCAGTGAAACGTGGAACTCATAACGACGTCCAAGGGACGGGACTCGTAACTCGTTTATAACGACGTTCGGGGAGAGAAATTTGCGTCGCGACCGAATTTCGTAATACCGTCGGCTAGTATGCGCGCCGCATACAAAACACAAAGTATGCAAATCCCCGCCGCGGTCGAATTGAAATCCCCGTAGTGTCCAGCAATTACAGAGCGTCACGCCGACTCGCTTCCGGAATTGTCTCGAGCACTTAATTACTAATTCCAGCCAAGTATTTTGGTAGCCGGGTTCACGTTGAATTTCACGCATGGCTCCTTACTCGGCCCCCATATTCGTTCCATGCACGCCCCTGTAATCAAGGGTTGTCTTCCGTCCACGGAACCCCGAAAGAACTCTTTCCGAATTCTTTCACTAGGATCGGTAATAATTTTATTCCGAACCTCGCGTGTCTTCATTAAAAATACGTAACGTTGCTAAATATTAAGAAATTTCTTAAATTCTATCGACACGATTCATATTTCTCTTCGACATTTTTATTCGTAATTCCAGACAAGTATTTTGGTAGTTCGCGTAGAATTTCGCGCGGGGCTCCTTAAAGATCTGGATTTTATCGTTGTACTTTTTAAAATCTTTTCTTCTATTTCACAAAGTACTTATACCAGTACATCCAATCAAGTTTCACTTTGTTAATATCTATATTATTTCTCCTCTTGCTTAGCAAATACGTAACAAAAACGATTTACTTTTCGATCTGAGAATAGTAGGAGGACAGAAAAGGAAAGGAGGGGGCGCGTTTCGTCCGGGCCTGCTAGTGGACTCATCAGTAGGCCCTGACTTAGACGACTGGGAAATTGGGAAGTCGTTCGAGGAATGTATATACAGGGTGTTCGGCCACCTCTAGCAAAAATTTTAATGAGCGATAGTAGAGGCCAAAATAAGACGAAAATCAAGAATACTAATTTGTTGGTGGAAGCTTCGTTAAAAAGTTATTAACGTTTAAAGTGCCGCTCTTACTGAATTTTACTGTAATTGAACCCTACAACCGAGAATAATTTTTCCACAACGATTTGCAATTTTTTAATTTTCTCGAATAATTTCACACCTTCTCTATTTTTTTTCTCGAAAGTGGGCAGGATTTCGTGGGTATGTCTAATGACAAAAACTGATTGTAATTGACCCCCGCAACCGAAAATAATTTTTCCACAACGATTTGCAATTTTTTTTCTCCGTTGAAAAATTTAGGCACCTAATTGGATTTTCAGTAAGGAATTTTTTTCTCGAAAGTGCGTACGATTTCGGAGGTATGTGTAATGATAAAAAATGATTGTAATTGATCCCCGCAACCGAAAATAATTTTTTTAAAACGATTTGAAAAATTTTTTTTCGCCGAAAAATTTCAGCACCTACTCGATTTTTTTTCTCGAAAGTAGATAGAATTTCGGAGGTATGTGTACTCACCAAAAATGATTGTAGTTGACCCCCGCAACCGAAAATAATTTTTCCAGAACGATTTGAAATTTTTGAATTTAATTGTTAATAACTTTTTAACGAAGCTTCCATCAACAAATTAGTATTCTTGATTTTCGTCTTATTTTGGCCTCAACTATCGCTCATTAAAATTTTTGCTAGTGGTGGCCGAACACCCTGTATAGCAACCGAGAAGTCGGTCGAGGGCTTGTGAGAGCGCGATCCCTCTGGTGGCGAGCATGGGAGGCGACGCAACAAGCTGCATCTATTACAACGAATCACTATCTTTAAAAATTGTTCTTTTTCGATACAGATAGGCAAAATTGACAACCAATAAAATCAATGTAAAAAGATTTATTCGTGACGTTTGGTTCGTCGAATTAAATTTTTATTTGCTCGCCACGAAGTACAGATAGGGTCAGTCATTCCTACTTTGGAACATCGCAATATTAAATTTACACAATAGTAAATATTAAGAAATATCTTAAATTCGATCGACACGATTAATATTTATCAATTAGGTTACGTTTTTTAAATTGGTCGTGAAACGCGAACTTTCGTCGCCCCGAGACGCGATCCGCAGATTAAAGCGCGGGTTAATGAGCGAAGTTGATGCACAGACAGCGAGTAAAATACGCGCTTAATTGGGCGGAAGTGCCGTGAAACGGACACACGTTGGTCGAGGAAATGATGGAGCTAAGAACGTTTCGAGAAAAACGAACGGTGCTTTGTCGAGACGGTCTAAAGGGACTGTGAACAAACTGGAAACACTTGGAGAACTCGTGGCAAAGGGCACGAAACTTCTTCTCGTTTGGCTTTATGGAACGCGAAGGATCCTATCGAGTGGAAAGGATTTACATTATAACAGGCCAATGGGGCGTCGTAAACGCGGACGATACGCGACGATTACTACCACGAACTTTAGAAATGGACTCTCGCGGTGGGCTACTTTTTATCGTTTCCAGCACGCAAAAATGTAATACACCTGCGAACATACGTTTCTTTCATTCGCGTATACTTTGTTTTGTCGTACGACGTTACGAAGCCTAAACTGGAGATTTTGTTTCTAATATCGCGTCGAAGGATCTTTGATATTACTGTGTCAGATACCATTAAATTCGTATTTGTTGTATTCTTAATTGCAGGTAATGCACCTGTAAACATACGTTTCCTTCATTCGTTCATATCGTTCTCTCTAGTACGAATTTTAACCTGAAAATTTTGTTTGTAATATTATGATCTTTGATACTTTTTTTTTTATTTATTTATTTATAGTCGCATCAACCGCCCATGGCTTATTAGCGACTCAATAAAAGTTTACAGCTTGTTATACAGTTTGGACTCTTCGAGGTACTTCAGCAAGTTTTGGATAGATTCGTCATCCTTCGGGTTGTCCTTTAGGGATGGTTTAATGTTGAATCGCAGTCTGTCTTCTTTGTTGAGGAGGTATTGGTGGGTCAGTTTGGTATGGCCTATTATGATTCGAGAAATTTTCACTTGATCCAATCTGGATAGGGACCAGGTTATGGATTTTTGGAAGAAGTTAGATTTGATTGATTTGATACGGGGTTTGACTGTAGAATTCCATTCTTCGTTCCAGCTGTCTTTTATTTCATCCTTTAGGATGGAGAGCGTGGTTTCCACGGATAGACTGGAGTCGTAGTGGCCAGGGGCTATTGTGTTAGCTATTTCTTTGGCTGCTTGGTCCACTTTTTCGTTTCCCATTATACCAATGTGAGAGGGGATCCATATTATTGTTATAAAGTTGTTCATCTTTGATATCACTGTGTTATATACCACTAAATTCACATTTTTGGTAATTCGTATGCAATTTAAAATAAATAAATTTGTCTTTGAAATAATCTTCCAAATCAAAGAATGAAAGAATAATTTTAATTTCGTCAGACTGTTCGTTTGGAAATAAAAAATACTTTCACGCTACTATCGCCTCATGAAATTAGTAAAGATTCATAAAATAGCGTATTAATAACTCGTAAACCATACTTTTACATCGTTTCGCTTATACGGAACGTATTATTGAATATTGGATTTTTAATAATAGCAGAACTTTTCATTTTGGCGCGTTGTTCTCTGTAATAAATTCCGTCTCGTTTCTCGTTAATCGTTTTGTTCCGTATCGATAGGAAACCCCCGATTGTTTTCGGGTTCGTATCAGTGGGGATTCCTCTCGAGAGGGTCTAAAAACATTTCTGCAACCAGACGATCCGTCTCCGCAGACTACCGTCTCAGGCATTTGTTCACCGACGCGGAAAATCGAACGAGAGTTGGACAGATGACAGGAATTCCCCGCAACACAGGGAATCGGGGATTTTCTCGGAACTCGAGACCACCGAAAACGACGCGACTCGGCGACGGTATAGTGGCAAATAGCGAAAAGAACTATCGCCGGACGGAACGTTAAGGGATAAACAAAAGGAAGTTCCGCAAATGAAAAAGAAAAGACAGACCACGAAAACAGAGGCAAACTTTTATTCGAACAACGGGCAACGAATAAAACGAACATTCACTCTATCGAATAGTTAAAGTTAAAAAATATTTCGTACTACGATCGATGTATTAATTTTTGTTCGATGAGTAAACAGTCGTCCACCTTTTTCATTTGTTATTCGTTATACTTACTATTTTCTATTGGTATCGTGACAAGTACAAGCACAGAGAGTTGTTATACGATGTCTGAAGACGAAGTACAGCCAAAGTTGCTATTAACACTATCCTCAAACCCCGCAAGTAGTATCGAAACTCGATCGACCAATATTTGTCGAACGGTTCGTGGATAACAAAATGGATCCCAGTTTCAGGATCTTGGCTACGAGAGGTGTACATTAGTTTAAAATTGAAACTTGTAGAATATCGATCAGCTGCGAAACCTCGGGAAATTAAGAGAGGCGAGAATCGTAAAACGTTTCTAGTATGCTCGAGGAGTTTGGAGCAAGTTAAACAATGCTCGAGATCAACTTTTGGGCCGAGGTATTTGCGTATCCATTATTCCGTGAATTATGAAAATTTTGATACTTTCATTTCCGTTTATAACGTTTAGAAATGAGGTTTTCGAAGTGCGCGGTTCCTTTTGTGATCGTTTGATAACCGTTTCCGAGCTATCCTAGATCCGCTACTGTCAGTCGTCTATAGTACCACTCCATTTTCCGCGAACTATGCCACTTATCACATTTTATTGATGTTTTTTGTATACGCTGCACCGCTATTGTTCAAGCAAATACAATAGAACACCCATTACCATATGGGAATTTTCGGATAACGGACCACTCGCATACCTGAAATTGATCATTTCACATTTTTTTACGAGATAACATGCAACATAGTGACTTAATTTGGTTGTTTACAAATACAAAAGGAAAAAAGAGGTTTCGAGACTTCAAGGCAGGCGAAATGGAAAGCAAATTTTATTCACGAACGACGAATAAAAATTTGATTCTCAAATTGTGTTTCGCTTGCGTTTCGTTTACAAATTCATTTGTAAACTGTACTTCGTTAATATATTCATTCGCTATTCCTAATTAAAATTGTATTGCCCCCGTGAAGTGAGTCAAATTACATACTGATATTAAACACCAAGTATAATATTAAGAAAGCTACGTGTCCCTAAGCTAGTCATTTTTAACACATCAAATTGATTATTTTTGTTATTTTTTATTAAATATGCTGGACTCTGTTGAGGAGTCAAATTACATACTGAAACCATAAAATAAGTATAATATTAAGAAAGCTACGTATCCCCAAGCTAGTCATTTTTAACATATAAAATGGAAACTTGAATGCTCACAGTAGCTTCTATTTTTCTTAAATTTGTATTCGTTATTTGTGACTAAAATTTGTTAGACTCTATCAAGGAGTCAAATTACTTACTGAAACCATAAAATAAGTATAATATTAAGAAAGCTACGTATCCCCAAGCTAGTCATTTTTAACATATAAAATGGAGACTTGAATGCTCACAGTAGCTTCTATTTTTCTTAAATTTTTATTCGTTATTCGTGACTAAAATTTGCCAGACTCTGTTGAGGAGTCAAATTACATACTGAAACCATAAAATAAGTATAATATGAAGAAAGCTACGTATCTCCAAGCTAGTCCTTTTTAACATATAAAATGGAGACTTGAATGCTCACAGTAGCTTCTATATTTCTTAAATTTTTATTCGTTATTTGTGACTAAAATTTGTTAGACTCTATCAAGGAGTCAAATTACTTACTGAAACCATAAAATAAGTATGGTGTTAAGAAAGCTACGTATCTCTAAGCTAGTCATTTTTAACATATAAAATTGAGAATTGAATTCTCATTATAGCTTCTATTTTTCTTAAATTTGTTTTCGTTATTCGTGACTAAAATTTGCCAGACTCTGTTGAGGAGTCAAATTACATACTGAAACCATAAAATAAGTATAATATTAAGAAAGATACGTATCTCTAAGCTAGTCATTTTTAACATATAAAATTGAGAATTGAATTCTCACAATAGCTTCTATTTTTCTTAAATTTGTTTTCGTTATTCGTGACTAAATTTGCTAGATTCTGTTGACGAGTCAAACCTATCGACGCCATGCTACAAGTATGATATTAAGAAAGCTCTATACCCCTAAACCAGTCATCCTTAACGTATAAAACTGGACACTGGACGACTATGTTTCTGTTTCTGTTGAGTTTGTTCAGGGGACCAAAGTTGACTTTCTTTGATCCGACTGTGAGTGAATAGAGAGACTAGAGACAGGGCAGAGAGAGAGGGAGAGAGACGAGTAGGCGAGGAGAGAGAAAGGGGAAGAGCCCTCGACGGGTAATAGCTCCCAATTACCATAACGCTTGGCTAAGCCGACTAATCGGTTCCGCTTATGCCGACCGGCAAATTATTATTAATCACATTGCACGTGGATTACCGTTTATGCGCATCCATAGATGTGGCATTTGCACTCTGCTACGCGTCGCGCATCCATGGCTGTGTGTACCATGTATTCTCGAATTGGCCTTTGATCTCATGGTTACTCGCGCTTTGGTACAGCCGGATCCTCGTGAAGTACTAAAAGCTTCTCTCCGGACTACTTCAGATCCTAATCGACTACAAGATGTAGACAGAATGGATAACAGCAGCGCATTATGTCAGAGCTAACGCGTCGACTGCGAATTGTCCACGTTCCCTCGAACCGTACCGCGAAAAATAGAAATATTCGACATCGTTCGATCAAGTAAAAATTTAACAAAGGCCATTTTTCCCCGAATTCTGATAATCACCGTAATTTTCTTACTCGTGAATATGTTCATTCTTTATCCCAACGCCCATCGAGTCGAATTTACCCCACGCAATCACTAAATTGATTTATTTCACCTTCGAAGTAGTGTCCATCCGTTTCGAGGTTCCATCGCGAAATAAATAAAATTCTTCTCTCTCTCCGCGATAGCGTTATCAACCACGCGAAGGAGGTTGGAAAGCGTACCTGGTCGCGTACGTTCGAACGATAAAACGGACGATATAGTTAGGAGAGATTAAAAGATTTATATTCGCCGATTTCGCTTGTTACCAGCACGGTTCGTGAGATTAATTTTTCGCCCGGTGAATCATGGTCCCGGGTTCCGGGTGCCCGGCGGACGTCGTGAAAAATTGACGAAAATGGTTGAATCATATTCAGAACAAGTTTCCTTCCGTGAAAAATTGGGTTGCTTCCAGGATCGAACGCTTTTGTGCTCGCGACGTCGGAGTCAGTTTCCAGGGGCCGGCACAGGAGGGTCCGGCTCACCTTCGCCGGAGTACGGAATCAATAGGCGGAACAAACTATGTAGGTGGGCAGAGGTCGCTGGTAAGATTGAATTTGCAGGCTCTGCCGCCCTCGTAGGCGACGTAGGACCGGATCGAGGCGAGAGAAAAGGGTTGGACGACGAACCCAAAACGGATAAGAGCCCTACGGTTCCGCGTAGGTGTGTTCCCTTTTCGCGCCTTTCGTCCAAAGGCAACCGTGTTTCCTCCAACGATCGTGGCAGTAGTTATTTGATTGGACCATCTTCATTGTCCTTTCGACTTCGAGGTTCCATAATATTCCAACGTTCGAGCGAATATTAAGAGGCTCATCTCCCAAATTCTTATTTTCACAGTCATGAAACTTTGGCATTTAATTTTTGAATAGAAAATAAAAAACGAAATCGATCTTCTGACTGGCTGGCCCCCCCTAAACTGTAAACAGTATCACCGAATCGTACATTCGAGTCTGAGCGTGCATGAAATAATTTAAATGCGAGTTATTTGCGCACTGTTTTGACGAGTATTTTAATTATATAAACAGATCCCTGTAATATCTTTTTGCGTTGGAATGGTTATGCAAATTAAGAGCATATAAAGGACAGGATCATCGATATTTACAAATTATCGTATCATTGAGGGTTTTGATGCATCAACGTTAGAATTACCAACAATCATGGAGTATTTATTGGTAACAAATAAACCACGGTAAATTTGCAAAAATCCTGTCGAGTAAATTTGTATCAATTTTTATTAGAAATTCTTATGTAACGATTAACTAGTTGGACGAGTGTCTGTGTATTTAAAAATTGTTTTCGGACAGCACGTTGCAACAGTTGACGTAACAGTCAATAAATCGTAATTAAACAAATTGGAGGGAAATAAAATAAAATCAATTGCCTGATATACACCTGTATAGCTAACAAACTTTGCTGGAATTGTCTTAAAGGAACTCTTTAATTAAATTAAATTCTAATCCAATCCAATAAGATTTTAATCTGAATTTAATATTTGCCCGTTGA